TCTTTAGAGATCACAGTCCCTTGAAGTCCCTTGCGTAGACGCGCCCGGATGCACGATATTTACCCGTACTTCACGGTGCTGTAACTCGGCTCGCCCTTGGAGTCTAGAGCTCGCGACAGGGGCGCTGTGGTCTCGAGAGTGGCACGCCCACGTCGGCGAAGACGGCCGAAACATTTGTTTGAACCCCATATAAAAACAATTAAAACCGATTTACCGCACCTCAACGTCTAGCTCAATGACTGAAAAAGTGGTTGCGTGCATTCACCTTGCTGTAACTCAACTCGCCTTTGGAGTTTCGAGCTCGCGACAGGGGCGATGCGATCCAGAGACAGACTTGCCCGCTGCAGCGGGCAACAACCGGCGAAAAAAAAAGTATCAAGGCGACCGCGAGCTGATGCACCTACAAAAAACGTCTTGCTTTTAGAATGCAACAATGGTTGAACTCTTGCGTCTCAGGCCTCCGACATAATTGTAGTTAAGTCTATACTCACAGGATGGTCGTCGTGACGTGATACATTTCTCGTTATTAGTACGGAAAAAAATAAAAAAAGATGGCTCAATTTTTGTATTTCTACAGCAGTATGGACCAGATGCCGACTGTACATAGAAGTCGTACGAGTGTCGACTCAGTTGTGCTGTCACAGCATCTTCCACGCACTTCTGCCAGTGCTGGTTTGTTGATTGGAGTCTTGTAGGTCGAGATACAGCCGTGAGATTCTCGGGTTGTGGAGGCAAAAGTGAACCAGAGCAAAAAATATCATGCATAGCTCGATTACTGCTGTGTTTTTGCTACAACAGCAGTCAGTATGCACTAGACGCCGAACGACGTCCGCGTACTACGGCAACGACCTAACTGGATGGGATACTTCCTGCCACGGCGAACCATAGTACAGTGCGATGCAAACATCCGTTCGTGTGTCGCGCGGCTGCCACATGTGTCGACGACATGTACACGTAGAACTCTCGCCATGTTGTCGTTACCGCGCAGGAGGACCCCTCGGAGATCTTCCACATGGTGCTACAATGACAGCAGTACTACTGTACATAATAGATGTCGTAGGAGAGTGGAGTTGTCCTGTACGGCATCTGCCGCGCACTCTCCTACCGGTGCTTGCGCCGATTGGAGTCTTGTAGGCCGAAATACAAGAGTGGGTTGGGTTCCCGGGTTGTGGAAGCAAACCTGCCTGCAGCAACAGAGAAGGCGGTGTTCTATGTCCTACGGTATCCCGCTCAACATTTTTTTTTTTGCAATATGCGGTTGCATATGTCTTTGCCACACTGCCGAAAAAGACCGCTGGATCTTTACGCAGTCCGTCTTTCGCATTTATCATTTTACATACACCGAACGACGCAGTACGGGTCGACCTTCATCATTGTTGTTGTTGTTGTGTCTTCACATTAAAAACCGTTCCGATCTCTCTCTACAGTACCTTCATATGTCCGTACTTGTGGATTATCTGTTGGAAATTGTGGGAATCCCTTCATTCCGAGAGAGGCATAGATAGATAGGTCGGCATCCGGCCTTTTCTTTTTTGTGTGCACTTTTCTTCTTGTTGTGAATTTTTGACGTTGCGCTTGCCATCGTCGCTGAAGTGTTTGTGTCTTCAAACCTTCTCAGCCGGCCTTCAAACTTCTTGTTGACAAGTCTCCGTGTTATCTTCTCCGCGCATGAGTCATATGCGGTTATTATGACCTGCGCTTTGACTTTCACGATGGGTATTTTACCTCCCCGTCTTGGCATTGGTGAGTACCTGGTTATTATACGGAAGGATCGTTCCACGACGCAAACATCGACGTCTCCTTTTTCTTCTTTTTTCCCGTCGCACTCCCTCCTTGCCGCGGTTTTCACACCGACTTCGAACTTCGAACGTGGGGTGCAATTTCCTCTCTTGGTACCTTCTTCCTCGTCGGCCTCCTCCATCGTTATGTATGTATACCTCGATGTTTCGGCTTTTCGATTCCGATGGACAAAACTACGGACTGACATGTCCCTTTCACCCCCGACGGGACAGCGCGCTCGTTCGAGTGCCGAAATTCTTCACCACTTCCTTGCCTCTCCCAACACCGTGTCCCTTCTTCCCGCCCCTACAAACCCTCTCCCCTTCTTCTTCTTCCCTTCCTCCCGGACACTCACCACCATCCGTCATGGATGTTGGCCCCCACCCCCATTGGGGGGCGGGGGGCCAATCCTTAACCCTATTATTCATTACAATCTCCAACTTCCGAATCAATGCGTTCTCCACGCCGGAGTGCGATTTCTCGGAACATTTCCCTGGGTAGAGATCGGTAGGTAGGTGTAGCTTGGGCACAGCGGGCTAGCTTTTGGGTGACCTTATTTGCACACCACCGACTTCGCAGCACGCGAGTTGGACGGCAAGATCTATCATGTTATCTAGATACTCAGAGGATGGTCGTCGTGACGTGATACATTTCTTATTAGTATGGAGAAAAAAATAAATGGCTCGATTTTTGTATTTCTACAGCAGTATGGACCAGACGCCGACTGTACATAGACTAGAAGTCGTACGAGTGTCGACTTAGTTGTGCTGTCACAGCATCTTCCACGTACGTCTGCCAGTGCTGGTGTGTTGATTGGAGTCTTGTAGGTCGAGATACAGCAGTGGGATTCAAACCGATAGGAGAGTGTTGCTATCTATCATGTTTCAAGGATCAAACACAAAACCATAAATAGGCGAGGAGCCGCCCCGCTTTGGCATCTCGAGACAGCGCCTGAAGGAATTAGAGCACTACTAGCATGTGTTCCCAGAACGCACGCACAACACGCCGTCACGATATGTAGCAGAGACCACTGATCCCAGGCATTCCCGTTTCTGCACCTCGTTTGCCCTTCATCGCGAGATAGCATCACGCGCTGTTGCAACCGCCCCTAGATATAGAAATAAGCCTACAAATTTGTCGCTCCAAGTTCCATGTAGAATCATGGGACACGCGCATCATCTCCCCCATGATCTGTTGACGAAAACAAAGCGGAAGCAAACAAATATTAAAGAAGCATAAACAAACATAAAGAAACAGTGACAAGGAAGGTCACTTGATGTCCACCACAAAACCACGGTTAAAACCAAAAGCTGCCTCAACGACCGGCTTGGTAAATAAATCGGCATGCTGGAAAGCCTACGACACATGCTCTATCCTGATCTGCTTCCGCGCTACCCGTTCCCAAATAAAATGGTGGCGGAAGTCGATGTGCTTCGAGCTGGGGGTAGTGGCTGGGTTGTTGGCGAATTACAGCGCCCCACATGTTTTCCTCGTTCACAACGGTACGTACGCCCGACACGCTTGCTTAAGTAGTTCAACGATAAACTTTCACAGGGAGCGCAAGAAAATCAGCCCATCACCCATGCCGACATCGCACGACGAAAGCAAGACGCTCTTCTGCGTCCTTGACAAGAACGAGACAGCGCCCCCACCTCACATCACCAGCGCGCCAGAGACAGAGATGAGGCCGGCGGGATGGCCGGTGATGACGGCATTCCAAAGGGCCCCGAACAAAGCCAAATTCGCACCACCGCAAAAAAATGCGTTTGACCATCGATGAACAACTCGAGATATATACCCATACCAAAAAAATACCGACAGTGAAGGCATATGTAGAAGAATCAACGTATAAACGAAAGTTCATGATAAAGTCGCGGTTTGATCCTCTCAGGATGAAAGTGCGATGTGTTTCACTATTCGTATACTCTTGCGATGTGTTTCACTATTCGCATACTCTACCTCACACAAACATGAAGCAAATGGGAGCATAGCACACATATCTCTTGACTTGGAGAATGCCGAGCGAGGGAGAAATACGGAGATGCGCGGATACTTCGAAAACTTCCTCAGCCTTTTGTTGGATTGTACTTATGACCCTCCTACTTCTCATCGAGGAGGGTGTAGTGGGTGCCCAGAGCGCCGGATACGCGGTAGTCCTCAACAGTGCCACGGAAAGCGCGGGACCCTTTCATGATGACTTGTCCGTTCTCGTCGTATACCGGGCGGGCCGTTTCACCGAGGAGGCCGGACAACGCCGGGTTGTCAACATTCAGCCCGTCCATTGCAACGTCCATCTGCCAGAACTCGAGGTCGGGCAGGACACGACCATCCCAGTCTACCTCGCCGTCGCCCTGGTAGTTGACGCCAGCGTTGAGGCGGATAACGACAGTGGGTGTCTCGATCTTGAAGATGGCGTGGGTGGATTGCAGGTCGGCGAGGTCGTTCTCGGCGATGTACTTGGCGCACCACCGGCGGGCCGGCATGTGGTCGCACCTCAGGATCCATTCCTCGAAGCTTTCACCAGCACGCAGCTGACGCCTACCCTCGATCATCTCCTGGTACATGCGGGCCCATATCATGTCACCGCCGAACTGCCGGCACTCCACCGGAAGGTTGGATGAAGACACGGCAATGGGACCGTCTGCCAGCGGCACGTGCCTGGAGAATTGAAGAAGCTCATCCAGTTCCTGGCCGTCGACAATGATGCGCAGTCCTCCGTTTGCAAGGCAGGGCGAGACGTCCTCAGGACAGCCGTCCGTCTCGATGGTGTAAGGGGTTTTGACCTCAAAGACTACAGAGTGCCCCTCCGACATCACACTCAGGCTGGTCATCAGCTGGCGGTGGGGGAACTCGTCGGGCAGAGGAGCCGTGAGGCGAACGTTGATGTTAAGATCGGCTTTATCGTCCTTGATCAGGGAGTACCAGCCACCGTCAACCCCAGACCAGTCGATCCTCTGACCACGAAGGCCTTGCATGTGGGGGTCGCCGTCGAGGCCTACACAGTTGAGAGGTCAGACGGGCAGTCGTATTCAGCGTCAGCTGAGGTAGTAAGCTGCACGACGTGTCGATACGAACAACTTGCCACAAAACGCAGCTTCGCTCACCTAGCGGCGTAATAAGTGATGTGTAAGGTCTCGCATCTCTTGTTGCGGGGAAGAAGCAGCCATACACAAACGTTTACTAGAGCTGCGATATATGCCTACGGAAATGGTAGTCTAAATTTATACCTCAGAAACCTTGTTGGCCGAGGTGTGCAGTGCACATTTTCGAGCGTTGCGTCCGTTTCGGTCGTGCACCACGCATGCTGGAACTAATGAAGCACATTTCACAATAGGTTAAGCACGCCAAACCAATTCGACACCATTAATATGACATTACATACCTCCGCACGCCCGTAGTCCTGCCAGCGTCGCCATACCCACCGCCTCGCCGGCAAACACGAAATCGAAGACACACTGGTCGATGCCGAGACAGACCTGACACAAGAGGAATCAATGTGACCGTGTTTTTCATGTCAAGCTGATCATCGCGACAACAGCGACGGCGAACTTACTGTGATGACACGATCTTTCACCGTTGGCACCGGAACATATTCGTCACGTGTTGCGGAGGGCACGAGCAAAACAATCGCGTACTGCAATGCCCGCTGGCAAACCTCTGCATGGCTGTGTCCAGTTCCGTCTTCACCGTTTACCTCGATGATTTTCGGTGGTACGACGTCTGGCCAAACTAGTTCGACGTAGACCTCGTCGCAAAACGCGTAGGTGCCGTGGTTCTCTCCGTCGACGTAGGTGAAGATAGACGTGCTCTCGGTCGTGCACCAGTTGGTGGTGCAGTAGCTCGTGCCTTCTGCCTCGGTAGGACTCTCCGGGAACTCAACACTTTCTCCGTCCGTCGTCTATTTGCGCGTAGGGTGGGTTAGATCGAATGAAGGGTCGTAAGCTTGCCATATTTGCTACTTTAGTTCTGGCGAGAGGGCCAAGTTTCCATTTCACGCGCCTTTCCTACCTTATGTGGCAATGGGCAAATCGAGACAGGATGCAGAAGCTGACAAGATATTGTCACGAGACTCGAGACAAACACCCGCAAATGTTGGTGCGAACATTCCAATGCACGGTTCATGACTGGTTATCCGAGGGGTCGTTCATGCCATGCTCACCATCCAGTCGTCTACGGGGTCTCCATTGTTGTTTCCAAGAAGCCCCGTCGTTTCGAGAGGGCGAGGGACGTTCACTTCTACGGATAACATTGCGTTCGCGAAGGACACGCTGATTTCCATACACGACAGGAAGAGCATATCCACTTGAGATGATGTTACATCGAGCATGACTCCGGTGCCGGGGTTAGCTGCCTCGTCGTATGTTTCACCATCCACCAAGATCTCGAGCGCGGACCCAGAGGCCGCTAACGTAACCTGTACCACAGAAGACCCCTCCTCACGCGCTACCATGGCGGTGGTCACAGTAAATGGTCCACTTGGGTCTTGGCTCCATGGTTCGAAACGAACTTGCACCTCGCCCTGGGTAGATTCGACCTTGGTGAGGAAGAACTCGCCTCGCCCGTGGCAGTCGTACGCGAGGCCGTCGAGCGTCACCAAGTGAGGGTCGCCACCGTTGAATCCGCATACGACTGGCGGTGCTGGTAGCATTGAGGGTAGAGAAATGGGGATCATGGGGCATGAGCACGGAGCCAACAAACTTAAGACATGCGTTCTTGAAGCTCGTCACCCACCGGGCCTTTGCAGCGAGAACGCAAAGCCAACCGAGTACACAACGCATCAGCAGCGACGTGGATCAAAGCCAACACCGCTGCAATGGGGCGGTATATGAACGCTACGATATTCATTTGAGCGAAAGCCGATGGTTTCTGACGTGCAGGAAGGGTTTTGAGTGTTGACTTAGAAAACAATGAACAGCTCACCTGGGGTAGCTCCCCCAGTCTGCATGCATGATTCAAAGTTCGCCACCGCTTTAGCGAGAGAGGATTACGGCAGGACAGCAAGCGTTGACGAGAACTTGGTGACATTGTGCGTTGTTGTGCATCGAGTTCTGGATGTATTTTCTTTTTCTTTTCTTGTTCTTCACTTCAAATGAGCGCTCACAGCACTAGTAGTGCCGTTTATTCCGACCCGTGGTCACACAGAAGAGTCCCTCTCTACCCTCCCCTCCTGCGGTACTTTGCCTACGATTTTAAATGCGAGAAGAGTTCAGCACTCTCTTCCCTCTGTGTACACATGAACTAGCGCTATCCACTCGGCCAGGAGCGGAGGCGAGAGAAAAACTCACTTTGCAAGAAAAGCTCGCCTACGCCGGGATTCGAACCCCTGACCTGACCTCTACAAGGTTTCGAGGTTACCAACTAGACCACCGGGGCGACCGGCATGGAAACGACCAGACAAAAGGCACAACCAACATCAGGTCGGAGTAGACTTGCTTAGATGATGAAGGTTTAGTACCACGTGAAAAAGCGCGATAGTGCGATGCGCCGAAGAGGCTGCAGTTATACGCCAACATCCTTCTTCTCGTGGCCGGCTACTGCGCAAGCTCGTGATACCGCCCAAATCTGCAAGACAACCACCTTGAAATATGCGTGCGCTATGCGTGGCACAGCTGGCAACGTCGCAACCGCCCTCGAACGCGGAGCCAGATTAGGTTAGGGTTAGGGTTAGCACTCACCCACGTCAGTGGAGATGGCAGCCAGTAGCACGAGCGATGCGAGCCTGTTGATCGGCGCCATTATTCTCGTTTTCCTCTGGTTCAGCTGGTCGACACATGCGTACAAACGAAACGAGTTTGGCCGCAGCGGCAAGCTGGTGGATCGTGCGAAAGAAGTATTCGATAGGTTCTACAGAAATATATATACTAGGGTTAAGGATTGGCCCCCCGCCCCCCAATGGGGCCGGGGGCCAAAATCGTTTGCGTCGTGGAACGATCCTTCCATATATCGCAGGCACTCACCAATGCAAGACGGGGAGGTAAAATATACCCATCGTGAAAGGTCACAGCGCAGGTCATAATCAACCGCATATGGCTCATGCGCGGAGAAGTTACCACGGAGACTTATCAACAAGAAGTTTGAAGGCCGGCTGAGAAGGTTTGAAGACACAAATACTTAAGCGACGATGGCAAGCGCAACGTCAACACTTCACAAGAAGAACAGTGCATACAAAAAAGAAAAGGCCGGATGCCGACCTATGGCTCTCTCGGAATGAAGGAATTCCCACAATTTCCAACAGGTAATCCACAAGTACGGACATATGGAGGTACTGGGTAGAGAGAGATCGGAACGGTTTTTAATGTGAAGACACAACAACAACAATAATGATGAAGGTCGACCTGTCCTGCGTCGTTCGGTGTAAAATGTAAAATGATAAATGCGAAAGATGGACTGCGTAAAGATCCAGTGGTCTTTTTCGGCAGTGGCAAAGAAATATGCAACCACATATTGCAAAAAACAAAAGTTGAGCGGGAGTACCGTCAGTCAGAGACTCGTAGTGGAGAGTCCCGTCGCCCTGTACAAAAGGCCGACACCAACTGGCCTTGCCCCGGGCCCGACTGCGACGACGGCGGTCACCTTTAGCTCATTAACAAGCGCGACGGTAAAGGCAAGTTTGCCCCTTGCGACCGTAACAACAACCGCGACGAGGACACAGTTGTAGCGTATCCTGCACCATCCTCACCCCGTCGACAACGTACCCCACGCCGGCCAGCTCTGCCTCACCCCGGTGGGAGGTACTTCTTCGCTCGGGATCCCAACCGAACAGGTCAACAGCCGCGGCTACAAAGGTAAAAGCAATTTCTCTCTGTAATTATATCAAGTAAGTATCCGCCTGATATGTGCCCGAATATTGTTCAGGTGTTGCATGAAGCCCTGACATGAAACTGCATCGCAACCGCAACCGCTAAATCTCTCCACAACAATGCCCTTCTTGCTTGCTGTTGTTGTCAGAGTGGAATAATATCCACGCGGTGTGGCGTCTTTGCGCTGGTGCGAAGTCTTCGGACGGCAAGCAAGAAGTTCAAGCACGTCACCGTCGCCCCCGCCAGCCTTATCGGGGTAAATCATGTGTACACCCGTTTACATCGGAACGTGGTTGTGTAGTGACCAGTCGTGTGTGTGCGTAGCTACCTAGATATGGGTGCGCGGATGCATCCGACTGTTGATGTAAATTAGTTTGCCATATGTCACAAAAGTACACCGTGTTCACCGGTCGACGTCATGAAAAAAATAACATTTTTTAGGATGGGGAAACCACGTGATATTTATTCCTTATATTTTCCCCTGTCAGTACACCGAGTTCAACCGTCGACGTCATAAAATAAAATATCATTTCTTTATGTAGTAAAACCATATGAAATGTATTCCTTATATTTTTCCCTGTCACCCATCCGATATCCACTGCAAAGGTGCACTGCGAGTGTTCCGACGCAGCGACTAACGAGGAAGACCTGGCCGACGGGTGCACGGGCGAGATCGTCGAGGACGACCTGATCATCAAGGATTGAGACTCCCCGCCGCTGCACTACCAGTGCGCCCGCCGCCTGTGGGACCAGACCATCAAGGAGATCCTCAACAAGACCGACGAGCACCGCGACCTGGGAACTCCACACGACAAGGAATCTTCCCAGCCCTCTGCCACCGTCCCCGCCGCCCTGGCCGAGCTCTTAAGTAAGACGCGTGTTTCCATTTCAGAAGAAAGTAAACGCCTCAAGTTATTCAAGGCACATTGTTGCCACCTTTAACTGGCTTTCGCCGACTATCAATAGAGTAAAGATATCACCCCATGTCTGACAATCATCGATGTCGGCCGACGCCAATTCATCGGGCAACTCGTTCAGCAGCCGCATCTCAAAATCGCCAAACACGATCACATACTGCACGTCACAATCCACACCAAAGTTGCACACCCAGCCAGAGTAACACTCCCTCAAGGAACGTACAAACAACTCCAACTCGACGACCACCTTCAGCTCGTCGAAATACCCAACGGAGATCGCTCACCCAACCACGAACGAACGGCGCCTGAAACTCGAACAACACCACAAACCTGTCCGGATAACGCGCAACACGCAGAACTAGCAAGATCTCGCAGACGAAGACGTGCTGAAATACTAACGGAACGTCGACGTCGTATTGCAAACAATAACACACCACACGACTCAGACCCTGAACTCGATATGATACGTCAACATTTTAGCCAAATGAGGAATCGTGCACCAAGGTTACCGGCACCCAGTCTAGACAGCCATCGCGGTGATGCTAAGAACCAAATCCGCCTTGGAGTGCAAGACATTGACTCGCAATCATTCGACTTCCCGTCGGCACCTTTCGAGCTAAAACACACGGATTTGGATTATCCACAAATATCTAGGTCTGTGCTCGGTAGGTGATCACCGAAAAGCACCGAATTTTGAAAACTTCACCGAAAAAAGTGAGGAATTTGAATCACCGAAAGAATAGTGGCCGATCACCGAAAACGGGAGGCACCTCACTGATTTTCACCGTTTTTTTAGGGGGCTCCGTGTATACAGGCCGTACCCCGTAAATCCCATCAGATACCCCCCTCAAGCGCAGCAGCACAGCAGCACAGCAAACAGCACACAGCACAAAGCGAACACAACCCAAGCACCGTCCTGCAGACACCACACACGGTACACAGTATGTACGCGGTATACGTAGAAGAACACCAGAGTTCGTTTTTACGTTTTCACGTGGAGTACTTCCTACGATCCTCAAAAAGACATCGCCGAACATCGCCGAAGAATCGGCAGCTTCTCCAGTCTACCCTTCAAATTATCACCGAAAAGCACCGAAAGCTCTTTCTTGGCTCTCACCTTTCTTTTATTTTTGTCGCCGATTTTCCCCGAAAACAATTTCAGTGCACCTAAAATAATCACCGATGATTTTTGGGCAATCGGAAAAAATCACCGAAAAAAAAAAAAGAAATCACCTTCCGAGCACAGCGTAAAAATATCACATGTTCTCACTGCAATGCTCAACTTTGGAAAGAAGAAAAGAGATTAAATTGTTGTTACAAGGGCAAGTCGTGTATCCATCCTCTCAAATCTATCCCCCACCATCTTATGGCGCTGTTTGAAACTACTGAATTCATTTCTGCTCAAAGAAGGTATAACGGGCTTTTCGGATTTACTACATTAGGCGCAGGCGGTATTCAAAAAAAGACATGCACTGAACCGCCAGCCCCTTCAATGCTCACCTTGCATGGACGTGCTTACCACCGCATATATATTTGACCTCCAACAACATTATGAGAACTATTCCGTGTCGAAGAAGTCATCGCAGCTAAACGAATTTTTGATGCTCAGATAAACATCCACTTTAATGCCTCCACATTATTACCTCCTCCCCAACAACCTCTTCCTTCTGCGTTAAATTGACGTTACACGGTATCATCTAGGCATTATGACACGTACTCGCTCTTACATCCATCTCGCCAATAATTGCATTCTGCCGCCAGCGCAGGCACCCTACCGCCTGCACCATCACCGACATCATCACGACCATCACCGTCGCGCTTCAACATTAAGAAGCTCGAGACCTGCGTACAAGGCTGCAAACGAAACCATACCTCCCGCAGTGATAATTGGCAATAACCACCAGGGCCGTAAGGGGCAACGATGACCCGAGGCGGGAGGCGTCAACTCTTTCACCGTCAACTAGCGTCCACTTTGTCTGAATGTTGTAGGTGTTCGACTCCTTTCACATTGTGAGGGATACCGCTTATCGGCGTCATTAGAGGGGGACAATAAGAAGAAGGGCGCGACATTAGAGAGAATCGACACTGAAGAAGTTAGAATATGACCATTCGAGCGGAACGACACTGAAGAAGTTAGAATAATAGCTCCAGAACATTAGAGGGGGACATTAGAGAAAGGCGCGACACTGAAGAAGTTTGAATATGAGAGCTAGGTGGCAACACACCAT